CAAGATCAGGGAGGAAGGGGGCATCAGGGCGGTCGTGGGGGCGATGGAGGGTCACTTAGAGAGCGACAAAGTACAGGAGGGGGCGTGCAGGGTGCTGGGGCACTTGGCTGCCAACAATGCCGAGAACGCGGTCAGGATCAGGGAGGAAGGGGGCATTAGGGCGGTCGTGGGGGCGATGGACGGGCACGAAGGGGGGAGCGGGGTACAGGAGGGGGCGTGCAGGGCGCTTGGGCACTTGGCTTCAAACAACGACGAGAACGCGGTCAGGATCAGGGAGGAAGGAGGTATCAGGGCGGTCGTGGGGGCGATGGAGGGGCACCCGACGAGCGCAGGGGTACAGGAGCAGGCGTGCTATGCGCTGCAGAGCTTGGCATTCAACAACGCCGAGAACGCGGTCAGGATCAGGGAGGAAGGGGGCATTGGGGCGATTGTCAATGCGATGAACAACTACCTAGCGAGCAAGGAAGTACAGGAGGGGGCGTGCAAGGCGCTGGGGAATGTGACTGCCAACATGACAGACGACGCGAACACGATGGAGGGGGCAAAGACCGAAGCGTGCATCGAGGCTATTCTCCGAGCCATGAAGGCGCATGCGATGGATGAAGTGGTACAGGAGGAGGCTTGCGCAGCACTTCTCAACTTTCCCCTCAATCCTTCCAACAAAGTAATTTCATCTTCCTGTGTTGCAAACGTCTCATTTGTCTCAGGCTTATATGCGACAGATGAAAGCAAGGTCCAGCATTTCCAACGCCATGGACGAGTTTCAGCAAAACGCCAGAATCCAAGACATGGGCAAACAGCTTTTGAACCTGCTATGAATTCGATTTGTTTTGCTTTGTTTGATGTTGTCCATTTCATGCAAAGGCGCAATTTTTGTTCTTTGCAGTGAATTGTTCGTGATTATTTCAAGTTATTGCTCGATTTTGCGGTCAATGAACAATATCTTTTAAATAGTCAACGAGATCACTGAGAGATTTGGTATTTTGAATTTTGATTATCTGCTACGGTGAAGAACAGACAGCTAGCCAGGAATCAACAACCGGCTTCACAGACAAGACCAAACAGGTGCATCATCAAATACATAAACCCATCACAAGAACTTTTCCTGACTCCAGCTCCCTCATACCTTCAATCAGAATCCATGCAACCAGTCCTCAAATCATTCCTTTAACAGTAGTAGCAGTAGTTAAGTTCCAGATCTGGCTCTTGTGTTGCACTGTGTTCACTTGTCCAGCAACAAACCGTCGGAAAAAAAATAAAAACACGCTCCAATCCAATAGCGACTACTTGGCTAACTTGCTTCAGAGATGATTTCGAGCCTCGCCATACTCCATATCATCTTTTTTCAGCATTCGTAGTGAAGACTGCTGCTTCCTCATTCTTCTCCTATTCAAGATTCAAAGTTTCAAGAAACCGGAGGGTGAGAGCGCATCCTTTGCCAGCACATTCAGTACTAGTTAACTACAGTGCGGGGGCAATGTACTAGTTAACTACAGTGCGGCGGCCGCCCGGCGGCGGCCGCGGGCCGGGCCCCGCTGCCCCCCGAGCTGAGCCCGGCCGGGGCCGCCGGGGCCGCCAGGCGCCGTTGCCCTCGCGGCCCGGCCGGGGCCGGATGGACTCGTGGCATTGAATATGTTCTGCCGGGATTCAGAACGATCCGTGGACTGCCGGGAACCAACGAACCGTCAGAACGAACTCAGGTGAGTCAGAACGAACCACTGGAACGAACTCCGGCTCTGTCGGCCCGCTGCAGGCCGGACGTTAGCGCAAGGGGTAAATTTAGGTTGTTTTGCACGGGCATTTAAAATCGCTGTGTACAATAGAACGTGGCATTAGCGGCGTATCGAGGCCCCAAGTTTTTTTTTTCACGGTCTCCATTCAAGTCCAATTTGAACAGGCGGTAACGCTCAACCCTGCCGCCGCAATCACATGTGGTGAAACGGCGAGGTGGGCTCGGGAAAAAATCTTCATCTGGGGGAAAACAAGGTATTGTTTTCCCCCAGAAATAGCCGTTACGGAATATTATTCAAATTTTCCTAACCGCTAATGCCACGTTTTTGAGAAATTGTGAGGGAAAACAAATACATTTTATTCTGCACCCCTTGCGCTAACGTCCGGCCTGGGTGAACGAAAACTTTTAACTCTGCTTTTAACTCTGTTTTAACTAGTAAAGATGGGTATGTGAGGGGACGTGGGGGTTCGGCGCGCTTTCGCCAGTGGACGGGAAGGAGCAAGGGGTTGAAGGAGAAGGCGGGAGGAGGGGGAGAGGGAACGTGGGCGAAGGGATATGGCGATGTGCGAAGGACAGTAGAGAGGGAGGAAGCGAGGGAACGAGCGAGGGAAGGAGGAGCGCAGGACACGAGGACCAGAGCATGTCGACCAACAGGACGGATGGGACGAAGGCATGTTTCCAGGGTTGAGTGTGCAGGTTTCGAAGCACATGGAGCCGAAAGCATCCTCATGGGGTCTGTGATTGGTGACCATGCTCTGTGCTTTACACCTAAAGCTGTCTTGGTCGGCAACACAATGTCCATTGGTTGTTAGTTGACTGTCGCATACGACAAGAAATCAACCATCAACAAAAGATGCAAAGTGTTCGAGTTCCCTTGTCAAAGCTGAAGGAGATTCCCGCGCCAGATCATCCTCCTCATCAATCTCCCAACACGCCGGAGTCAGGAAGTGCCAGGAGATTGCATCTTGATCCGGGCCCGTCTCCGTACCTGGCCAGATCTGGGAAGCTTTCCACGAGTTCAGTTCAGTCGATCGCTATCACCAACGGCATCACGCAGATTCTGAACTCAGAGCACACATGGCAGGACCTTGTCGGGCTCGAGAAAGATATCACACATATCCTCCGCAGGGCCACTGACCCAAACTCCTCCAGGGCCAGGTTTGAAAATGCGTGCCCCGGGTACAAGTGGCAGGACGTGGGCGATGATTCATACGCCAAGGAGTACCTTTGTGGTGTCATCGCAGAGTTGAATCGCCCGGCCTTACTGGAGGCGAACTGCTCCTCCTTCGATGCACCAGATCTCAGTCGCATGGATGAACGCTCGTGGGATGGCGCGGACATTCCTGAAGAGGAGGCGACAGGTGAAGAGCCGGTTCCCCATGAGCCTCCTCCCAAGGAGCGGCGCAAGCTCTCACAAGGGAGGTCTCATCAACGACCTGATGGAATGCAGCAGCCCAACGTCGTCCAGGATGTTCCTGGTCCTGATCCGAAGGACGGGAAACAAGGACAAGGCAACATGCGTTCTGCTGCTCGAGGGGAGGGCAAAGCTCGGGAAGCTGATTCGACCAGTGTGAAGGAGGCAAGCAGTCAAGTGCAAGAAGAGGCCTTGGATAAGAAAGTTGAGGACATGAAGGTGAGAGGTAGCATGCTGTTGATGTTCGATTGCTGACTGTCGGACAGTCGCTGTACTCGAGGTTAGAAGCGCTAGTGGAACAAGCAAAATCGATTGCGCAAAGTCGTGATCAGAAGGATCAGATTTCTGACATCAGAGGATCCTTTCCAGAAGCTGAAAACAGTTCTAAAGGGCTGCAAGATTCTCAAACTGTACAGACAGTCAGTCCTAACCCAGCGGCATCGTTTCCAAGGCTTACAGTGAATGGAGTCAAGTATAAAGATCAAAGCGGTTCAAATAACGACAAGAGAATTGAATTTACGCCCATCAACGCATGCGTGAATGAGGAATTTGTTCCTGAATCTTCCAGCAAGGGGGGTGTAAAAAATGTTGATATCCATGCAGTTGCAGAAGATTCTAAGGAAGAGCCAGCTCTTGATATAAACCTCGAGTCTCAACTGACAGACGCTCACGAATCAGGACAAGAAACGGCACCATCGGAGAACTTCAGTTTGTCAATATCTGAACCAGCCAACGACAGCAAAGATTCGGACCCAGCTCCGCCCAAGAACGGCTTTGTAGGCTGGAAATGTGATCGTAAGCTGTTGTCCAAAAGTCCCCCTTCTTCAATCCAACGTGTGATAGAAGCTCTTGTGTCGAGGTAGGTGGAGCAATGATAACTCTCTGAGCACTCATTGCCCCTGTGTCCTTGTCTCATGATAATCGGATTCCTTCTTGGCAGATACCGGAACCCTGAAGCGATCTTCCAGCACTTCGATAGACCAGAATTGGAGTGTGGGAAGGGAGACAATGAAATAACAAAGCTTGAGTTCAGGTCAGTATATTCTCAAATTTTCTTGTTGCATACGATAGATCTGATTCTGATTGTGGTCGTTTCAGGCTCGGAGTCCAGAAACTTCCTTTAGACCTCCCTGACGATGAGATTGATGAGATGTTTTCGTACATTGACGACAAAGGTAAATTGTAATTGTCTCGTACAAGATTGGAGCATAACTGATCTCTTGTTCTGCTTCAGAGCGAGGGAGCGTTACCATTGCAGACTTGGAGCTTGTGCTGAAAGCTTTCGGGTTCGAGAGAAAGGTTGCGGTCAAGAAAGCAAGCAAGTCATTGAAAGCAACCCACAAGAGGGAGGCGGACAGCAAGTCTGAACCCAAGAAGAAACCGGCTCCTGCACAGAAGCCTTCGAAGTCAAATGAACTGTCTGCTCTTTCGCACGAAATCGCAGAGGAAATACAGAGATTGGACAAGTCCTTGGACGTGCTGGGCAAGAAGGTCTTTGAAATGAAGCAATCCTGCGAACAGTACGAGATGATCTCAGAGAGATTCAGCCGGTCCTGCGACTGTGGCGATGCCCTGGGGCAGAAGGCGCTGGTAGATTCTGGCGAGGAGCTTCTCAACGTGATGAAACGATTGGGCGAGGAGTACAAGAAGATTGCGGACGAATTCCATGAGATCTGTGTGAACCTGATCAGGAAACTCCCCCGAGACTACCGAGTTGTGTGGAAAGCTGCGGTCTGTAACGAGATCGATGACAAGGGGCTGAAGCTTCGAGAGCTTTCAGATGAGATGCACATGTATGAGAAGAGGCTGGCGGATATGAATCACCTGCAGAAGCAGTGGAGAGCATCGCTGAGGAACCCCAACCTGGACTTCACCATCAAGGACCAGTCTCAGTCCGAGCTCAACGAGTTGCTGGCGAACTCGCGCAAGTGGATGAGCAGGGCGGTCAATCTGGGGCACTTGGACGAGGCCGGGCTGGTGGAGAAGCTCCAGAGCAAAGAGGTGAAAGTGACGTCAAGGGAAGCTGAAGAGCTCTCGCGCAAGCTCGAGCTGTCAAAGTTGGAAATCCCGCAGAGAAGTGAAGGGGACGCGGTTGTTGTCCCTTCAACGTCAGCAAAGGACGCTGAACCGCGGATCATGGAAAGTGTCAGTGTGCTGTCCACGTTGACATCCGGACCTGTCCCTGAATCCAGGAGAGTCAAAGGCGCCTTACCGATACAGAGACAGATTGACAAGATACATGACTCACTTGGCGGAAGAATGGATTATGATGCAATCTACAAGAGCTTGCATGATCTACAGATGTTTCGAACTCAGTTCGAGAGCGATCTGTTTCTCAGTGATGCGATTGCCGAGGACGTCACCGTCGTTGAAGAGAAGCATGATGAGTCCTTGGAATTGAGCAAGCTGGAGATCTCGAACATGGTGCGAAATGTTACCCACGAAATCAAAGTTCTGCTAGACAGTGAAATTCACTCGGCCGGCCAGCCCAAGAAGAAAAGTCCGCCAGGGAAACAAAGCAACAGCGAACCGACCAGCCTGCTGAGTCATGAAAGAGACAAGAAGAAGGCCGACCGTATGTCTTCACGTGACAACCCAGCGAAGGTCAGCCAGGCCCGGCTTCCTGTCAAACGAAATCCATCGAGACCGACGCCGAAAGTAGAGCGAAGTTTTGAGTCCAATCCTTCTGTTAGACCTCATGGTGTTCCAAACAAGGTGGAAAACCTTCGGAACAAGGTGCTGTCAAGGCCTGCCCGGCGTCATACCACCCGCAAGGACCTGCCGCAGCACGTGGCGAGTGTTGCGGCAAGCAGGCAAGCTGTCTGTCACAACAAGAGCTCGTGGTCGATGAGGCCTATGTTGGTTTCTTCTTGCTCACTGCTGCCCCAAAGGGTTGATGAGGAACACGAAAAGGAAGTGAAGGTGGAGAGAGTTGAAAGTTCCGTCAGACCGGGTGAAGTTTTCCGTCTGACGGTGAATGTCAGCCAGTTTGGAAGGTCAAAGGATGCTTTCCTTGGGCTGCTGGAACAGACAGTGCAGATCAGCGGCAAACAGGCGAAAGTTGAATTGTGGAACGAGGAGCAAGGCGTGCTTGAACTAAGGTCACTGACGATAGAGCAGTGCAAGATGCTTTCCTCCCTCTTGAACGATCCCAACTCAGAGGCATGGCGCACCTTGCGTTTGCTCAAAGTGGACATGGGTGAAGGAAGGTCCTTGGCTGCTTCCGTGACTGACAGTCCTCCCCGGCAAGACTTGTACGTCACTTCACATGAAGTCTCACCCAAGTTGTACTCGAGTGAGTGGGAGGAGGTCAGAGCCTCCAAGCCGACGGCTGAAGATTCTGTCGAAGAAGCTCCAAGTCGAGTCGGTACATCCAACCCGGCTCGGTCCCTCGACTTCGACCAGAGGAGGATAGGAGACGAGATGTTAGTGGAGGGAAAGGGGCCCGCAAGCAAAAAACTTCCGTTGGACAGACCAGGAGGACCAAAAGTGGCGATGTGGAGAAGGATAATCAGAGGAGCCTGGCAGCTGACGAGGATGCCCTGCATGACTTCGTCACCAACTACCTCACACATCACCTTCAGGCTCAGATCTTGTCCATGGCACTCGCCGGAAGGTGGCAGTCCGAAGTTGTCGCGTCCCGGGACGAGGACGAGGAGAGGCGGAGGTCGTGCAGGTCCCTTGCAGCGTCGAGGCTGTTAGGGGCGAAGGGGCTGGACATGCTGAACCAACTCGGAACGAGTGTGGAGGATGAGGAGGTTCTGTCCTGGGCAGAGGAAGCGCTGCTGGAAGAAGCGGCTCGGGCGATGAAGGAGATTAGAGAGGGCGGGATGAGCCAGCGGGATGGAGGGAGCAGGGGAGTTTTGGCTCAAGACCACGTGCGCGAGGTACCTGCTGACAGCGAGGCAGGGCAAGAGTTCGAGGAGGAGCTGGACGCGCTGATTATGGGTTGCCTGCTCGAAGGCATCACCCGAGACATTCTGGATGGGAGGAGCGAGGCTCATGATGGTCAGGGTAGCGGGGGAAGCGGCGTGATAGTTGTGAAGGAAGAAGTTCCCACAGCAGGTGGCGAGGTGAAGGCGTCGTCTGGTCAAGACACAACCACGGAGGGAGAGGAGTCAGGTCCACAGAGCGAGGAGGACGGCACCTCGGGCAACGGGGGGGACATGCTGAGGGCGCAAGCAGGTGGCAGGAGCAGAGGAAATGTGGAGCTGGTCTACGAGATCATGAAGGAGGATGAGGGAGAGGATCGAGGTCCCGCCGACAGCCACAGGCAGCTTCTCCATGATCGGTTGACTGTGATGGAAGACTACATGCGGCAGATGCACCTCACTGTGCAGGAACAGCAGGCGCAGGGCTCGTTGGCGAGGCAGGAGAGTTCAGAGATCAGAGAAGCTCTTGGAAAGATCGCTGACTCGATGCTCACGCTCACCAACCTCACGGAGAGGATTGCAGACTCCAGCCAGACGATGTGCACCAAGCTTGATGAAGCTGCTCAGAAGGTGGAGACGAGCTTGGTGCAGAGTTTGTTAACTGCTCCTGCTCCTGCTCCTGCTCCTGCTCCTGCTCCTGCTCCTGCTCCTGCTCCTGCTCCTGCTGCCATGTGCGAGGAATCATCCCAGACAGTCATTCTTATGGATGATTTCCCGACGATTGCAAGCAAGCAAGAAGACGAGTCCTCCCAACCTGCGGTTTTCGAAGTCAGAAGGGAGGGAGGCGATGGGGGTGACGGAGAAAAGGAGCAGCAGGGGGAGAAGGGAGTCCAGGAGAGGGGAGAAGAGCTCAACGAGGGAGCAGCGGAGGAAGGGGTGGAAGCCGAAGTGTTCGTAAGGGCAAACTCGGAGCAGGCGGCGGCGAGAGAGACGGAACTAGGAGGAGGGGAGGGAGGAGAGGAGGGACGAAGGGACGAAGAGCCACGCCCCGTGGATGATGGATCCTTCCAGGAGCCTTCTTCTTGCTCAGCGATTGAGGAATTCGATTTGACTCCCCCCAAGTCTTCGAGCGACAGCCTTGCCTGGACCCCCATGCGGGGATGCGAGGAGACGAGCTCCTGTGACCTGCAGGAAAAACTCGAGGCGGCGGCAGACGAAAGGGTGGAGGAAGGAGAGAAACAGGAGGAGGGTGGGGAGAAGGAGGGAGCGATGAACGAAGGAGGGGAAGGGGAAGAGCTTGGGGACTTGATGGGCGCTGGGGACTGGAGCATCGTGGAGGAGGTCAGCGGCTCGCAGGGGATGGCAACAGTGGCAGTGCAGGTGACGTCAAGCGAGCTGACCATCACGGAGGGGATGAGCTCCCGTGCCATGGCGATCGCTTCCTTGCAGCATGGCGAGAGCTCGCAGAGGGTGAAGGAGGACAGAGCTCCGGTCTCGCAGGAGCAGGGAGTCCAGGTCAGCCTCGTCCACCTGCTTCCTTTCTCTTCCTGCTGCTGCTGCTGCTTCTGCTGCTGTGCCACGACCTGACTGACTTTCACAGACGGAGGTAGCAGAGAGCTCGACGGGGTCATGGCAGCGAGCAGCAGAGTCTCTGTCGGAGGGAGAGTTGAAGGTCAACACCTCCTCCGAGCTGGAGAGCAGCAGGATAGAAGACGTGGGGGTGGAGGAGGATGCCTCAACCAGGAGCGGGCCGAGTGTGATATGGGACGAGGATGAGGAGGACGAGGATGAGGATGAGACGTCAGAGCTGTCGGAGGGGGAGGTAATGCAGGAGACTTTCGCGGTGGGAAGGAGGATGAGGATGAGGATGAGCGTGCGGTCGAGCGGGGAGCTATCAGAGGGGGAGCTGGTCCTCCCCTAGCTTGCCTCCAGCACAAACCATCCCCTACCTCCCAGCACCGCAGAGGCACAGCGTTCGGAGCGGTTGTCAAACTAACTTTTAAAGATGAGAATGTCTAGCTGGGAACCCCCTGCTGTCTCCTCTGCAGGCTGTGGGACTGCATGTTGTCCTCGTAACCCACCCAGCCCGCCTGCTTCTCTCCCATGACGTTGAGGAAACCGGCCGATCCGTAGTCCCTCGTCCTCTTCGACATCTTCGCTGCCGCCAGGATCGTCTTCTTTGGGGCATGTGCGAGGAAAGTGGCAACACAGAAGGCCTGCATCTCCTTGAGCGACCGGGAAGAGGAGGGAGGGAGGAAGGGAGGTATCCCTGGATTAAGGGGAGGAGGGGAAATGCGGGGAGAGAAGGAAACAGGAAGGGGTAGGACAGCGGAGGTGCTTCAAGGTGCAAAGAAGGCAACTTACCACTGCGTCTTCGTCCGAGGCCGAGCGGATACAAGTTGTCATGTCGTCTACCAACACTGTGACATCCTTGGGCGCTTCTTCTGACTGCGGCGTGTCCATCGCGTTGGTCACCGCCAGCTGCCAGGGGAGGTCAGCTAGGCAGAGTCTAGCTGCAGTCCAGCTCACCTTGGTCTGCTTGAGGGGAAGGCTAGTGAGGAATTGCGCGATGCAGACGATCCCCTCCGACGCTCCCTGGGCCGTCGCCATGCAGCCCTGAGGAGGAGGGTCAGGAGGCCGCAGGAGGTTCAAGTTCCCTGCCTTCATCTGCTTGGCGAAGAGCAGCACGACACGTTGCAGGTTGGCCCAGTGGACTCCGATCTGAGGCGGGGGGAGGGGGTCAGACACGCAGCCACAGCGAGCGAGCGAGGGGCGGGACCTTGTCGGATCTGGAGATCATGAGGGCATGGCGGACGACGGAGGGCTCGAGGTGCTTGAGCATGTCCGCCTCGCAGTAGACGGCGCTGGACCCGGTGTTGGCCCTCATCAGACACTGCGGGAGGTCAAAGACGAGCAGGCGATAAGCAGCGACGGGTCACCTTCTCGAACCTGGAGGCGAGCTCGGGGGGAGCCATCCTCTCCTTCCTGTGATCGTCCTGGCTCACATGTAAGGGCAGCCACGTCAGACGTTCATGGGGATACATCTTGCCGCAGGAGATCCAGAGATCGCCATTCCAGCGCTCTGCGGGCAGACTTGAGCTGTACGCAAAGGAAAGGCAGCCGAATTACCTATCCGTGGACAGGAAGAAATCTGCGAGGCAAGAGACGTCTCCGGCTGAATGCTGAGGGGGAGGAGAGAAGAGCATGCGTCAGCGACAGGTGAGAGGGGCTGCCAGGAACTTACTGTTGCCTGCCACACAGGGACGTACTGAAGACGACAGCGCGTTACAACAGAGAGCGACAGATTTGTTGCCTCACCTTCCATACTACTTGCTGCTTGCCGCAGTAGTCCCAGTGGGTCCACCCGTAGTCTCCAGGGCCATAGCCCGCATGCGGGTCCGTGCTACGTCGTCACCGTTACATCGTCAACGGACCGCAATATCGCTCAAACCTCTTGGTGCCACACGTCCCTTCTACTGCACACCAGGGCTTGCTGCTACCGTTGTTGGAGCACCTGCGGTCCAGTCAGCTGCATGACAGGCAGCTCTGAGCTCGCAGACAGGACCTGTTGTACGTCTTGAGCTCGTTGGATTCCTGGAGATGCCCATTGTTGCTCTCATCGGGGAAGTACTTCCAGGGCATCTTGCAGGTACAGCCTGGTCCAGTTGAGTCAGCAAGGTCACTTCAACTGGCATCCGAGCTGGATGTTGAAGCATCAGGGACAAGGACAACCATTCTTAGTGCTGATGATGCGCGTCTCTTGCTTCTCGAGGATTTTTACGACGACCTCAGGGACTCTTAGCATCGAACATCATCTATCCGCATGCTCATACCTTCGACTTATCTTTCTGCGCCGCAAGAAAGCAGTTGGAGAGGTCGAAACCAGCCTTGATGGTGCCTGGATCAAAGAAACATCGTGACAACAAGATCGATGGACGTGCTTCTCATAAACACAAACATACTCTTTCTGTAGTAACTCCAGCGGACTTTGGGCTTGGAGTCAACCCACTGGTAGTCTCCGTATGGCTTGCCCTGTTGGTTCAGAATCAGCGAGCAAGTCGCCAGAGCGGGGTCTCAGAACGATGCTCTGCAACGGTGACGATCCGACCTGAGGGAGATCGTTGAAGTAATCAGAGGAGCGACTCTGCACCTTTCCGTCCTTGTCCAGGTCGGAAACGTCATCGCTGATTTCGACGTCCTTCCCCTTCACTTTCCCCTCCTTCCCTTTCTTCTCTTTCCCGCGCTGCAAGATCATTCTCCTTCTTGCGACCTCCTTCAGTCTCTCTAGCGGTCTCTTCGGGTACACCCTCCACTCGTCTGAGAAGTCTGTACCATGGCTCCTCCAGGGTCCGCCCATGATACCAGAGTCTTTCAGGTTGGTAAGCTTGTTTTCCACTTGACGCTGCAGGCATGTCACACACTTGTCACAAATGCTGCTACAAGTAGGAGGGGAAGTGAGGGGATCAGCGAACGGAACCCACCTCCTCATGCTTCAGCGCTTCCTCACTCTGGAGGAGCTTCTCTGCCTTGCCCATGAAACGCGCAGCTTGTGCCGTTGCTGAGTTCGCATCTGCGAGCTCCTTACCCCCGAACGCCTTCTCCTGTTGAGCAGCCTTGCCATCAGCAGCCTCAGCTTGCTTGATGGCCTTGAGAACGTCCTCCAGTCGCTCTTGCTTCCCCTCCTCCCTCTTCTCGCTCCATGGAGGGCTTGCCAGCTCCAACGGCGCATCGCTCGCTTCAGTCCTTCCTCTTCCTGCCTTGCGACCCTCACTCGAACGAGAAGTGGCGACAACGTCAGCCATCGCCATGCTCATCATCACCACGAGCGCCATGAACGCCGCCATGCGCCCCGCCCCCCCCGCCATGGCCGGCGTCTCTTCGTTTCAACGAGGCGGGCCCGAATTTTCCACTAGATTGTTTTTTTAATTTTTTTAGTCTAAAGGATCTGTAAAACAAATTTGCTTCTTTGCCGATGCACATTGCCTGCGAAAAATACATCTAGCCGATGGATGCCGATGACGGCGATGACGTAGATTATGTCCATGACATCCCTGATAACTTCATCTTCTCATCTTTCCGATGATCTTCTTGCCTTCTCGATGCTGTTTTGTGCTTCGTTTGTTGTGTTTGTTCCTGTTTGTGCTTGCAGGCATTGCTTCGTTTCATGGTGTGGCAGGTAGTTTTCTCCTCGATATTCACTTTCTTGTTTCGATCACTACATCTTGCATCACACATGAGATAATCATCCGATTATCAGCACTTTTCCTTCATCTTTTACCTTATCTCTTCTACTTTGTGAGTTCGGCCCCTCTTTCAGTGGGAATCTTCTACTCCATAAGCTCTCTCACCAACCACAACAAAAGTTAGCGAAGGGGAGGCTGTTCATTTCAATCGATATAATGAAATTCTCCATCAGCAGCGTTCTATCATTCACCCCGTTCTATCAACTCTATCATTATCACCCTTTCCTCACCTCAGTTTCATGATACTTCGATCCGCCTAATTTCCTTTCATTCTCGCTGTTTTCCTCCTTGTGCCCACCGTGAGCGATCGGGTGACATTTGCCTCAGGCGCCGCCATGGCGACCATATTCCGGAATCTTAGGCTGCAGGCTCTGCCTAGGATGGTGAGACAAGGAGTGAATCAGATCCGCTGGAACTCTACCTTCGCAGACGGAGCGAGGAAGAGCAAGGTTCCTATCTCGGTGCTCTCGGGCTTCCTCGGATCGGGCAAGACCACTCTGCTTCAGGAGCTTCTGCAGAACAAGGGGGGGCTGAAAGTCGGAGTTGTAGTCAACGACGTGGCGTCGGTGAACATCGATGCAAAATTGGTGCGCGACCGCTCGAGCAGTGGGATACGGACCAAGAGCGGGAAGGGGATCGAGTTTGTTGAGCTAGAAAACGGCTGTGCATGCTGTAACTCCAGCGACGAGCTGATGGCGTGCATAGACCAGCTGCTTGAGATCTCAAGGGTGGGCGGATACTCCTTCGACAGGATCGTAATAGAGATGAGCGGGGTTGCAGAACCAAAGAACGTCAGGAGGGAAATCCAGCTTGCAATCAAGGAAGAACATCCGATCTTCGAGGAGACAGAGCTATCCACCATGATCACCGTGGTTGACTCCCCCCACTTCTTCGAGCTCTACAGCTCCAAGCACGACGTCGTCGATCACCAGGAGCTCATCGGGCTCAACGACGCGAGCGCTCCGCTTGAGGCCATTTCGTTGGTGGAGAGGAAGGTCGTGGATCTCCTGGTCGAGCAGGTGGAGTGTGCGGACCTCGTGGTGCTGAACAAGGACGATCGGGTGGACGAGAAGAAGCGTCAGGCTCTGAAGAACATCGTGTCTGCTCTCAACCCAAAAGCTGACATCGTTCACTGTGAATACGGCAAGGTCCCGCTAGAGCGGGTGTTCTTATCGGACAAGGGAAGGATAGCTAGTCTGGATGACGATGACGACATCAGGGAGGCTGTTGAGTCCGCAAAACTCGCCAGCGAAGCCGGTCACGGTCATTCTCATTCACATTCACACAGTCACGAACACACCCATGGGCACGAGCACGGGCACGAGCATGCTCCCAACGCTGCAGAGAAGTATGGCATTTCTACCTTCGTCTACTCGAGGAGGCGCCCGTTCCATCCCAAGAAGCTACAAGGAAACTCCATCTGCCTCCCCCTGCTCCCTCTGATTCTTTGCGATAGACCTCATCTCCTTCATGCCGGTCAAGAACGCCACGAGGTTCTGGGCCAGTTCGCCATGGCTCCCGGACGATGTTGACTTTTGGCGCAGGAAGAACTGGGTCGATCACATGCCCGTTGACAGCTGGACTCTTGACAAGGTGTGGTCTGCGGCTCTCAACGTCGGCCTGCCTGACTCCTCTGCTCCTGCCCAGCTGCTGGATGGCAAACTGAACAGTAGCAACGAGAAGAACGAGCTCGGAGTCCTCCACTCCATCATCCGCTCCAAGGGGTTCGTCTGGTTGGCCAGCCATGCCCAGAGCGCCCTGTACTGGTCACATGCTGGTGAGCGCAGGGCCTCTGAAGCTGGTTGCTGAGCTCGTGGCTCGCAGGGGCACACTTCTCGCTGAATCCGCTCGGCCTGTGGTGGGCAGCGACCGCGAAGGAGAACTGGCCAGGTGCGGAAAGGAGGGAGAAAGACGGGGGATCGAGGAGAGGGAGTGCGTTGACATGGAGAGGGAGGAAGAAGGGAGGGTAGAGAGACTGGGCGGGGAGGGGCCACGGGGCAGGGGATAGGAAGAGTTCCTCCGGCTCAGTGCCAGCAGATGCTGGAGACCTGTCGAATCCCGAGGTGGTCAAGATTGCCAACGAGTTTGACAAGGAGGTGAGGCGGTGGTCTGGTCCTGCTGGGGTGACAGCTGGCAGGGCAAGTGGGGAGATCGACGGCAGGAGCTCGTCTTCATCGGGGTCGACATGGTGGAGGAGGAGATCACAGCTCTCTTTGACGCCTGCTTGCTCAACGACCACGAGATGCTGCAGTTTGAGGAGTTGATGGTGAGCAGCGCTCCTCCCTCTTCTCACCCTTCCCCCTCCTTCATCCTGCCGCTGGTCGTTCCCGTCTCCTGGTCTTGGTATCTTGGTCTTCCTACTTGTCATTTCTTGCTCCACCGCCAACCTCCCTTGCCGCTGCCCATGCGCTTGCCGCTGTCCTTCCTTTTTTTGTCCTTGCTCCTCCCCACTCGCTTTCGCAGAAGTTTGACAAGATTGACAACAGAAGGATAAACCCAACAGCGTGGACGTCAAGTCAGACCCCAAGTCAGCGTCGGGCCTGCGGATTGACTTCCACGAGTAGGCGTTACGACTTCTTGGTCAGCCTCTCCACAGCCGACAAGATGTCACCCTCCTGCCACCTGCACGTCAGATCGCCGCAGTTTCTGCGGGGTGGAGAGGGGGTGGGGAGAGGGTAGGGAGGGGGGTAGGGAGGGATGCAAAATGATGTTTGTACTCACAGCCTCGAGTGCCTGTGGGAATGAAAGTTTCGAATGTCAGACATTCCCCTCCCTCCCTCCAGCAGCGAGTCACCTTCTCTGCCTCCTCCCGAGGGAATCCCATCTCCACCAGCGAGTTGAGCAGCTCCTGCTGCTCGGCCGCGACCGTCCTCCTCCTCACTGCCTCCAGAGCTCCTGCGAGGGCCTCCCTGTCGATCCTCTCCCTCAACTCTCTTCCGCTCGATCCGTCCGAGTTGGGCGAGGATGAGGCATCGCCATAGAGACGATGCACGGGGGCGCCGCCGCCGAAGGACAGCGACATGCTGAGCGCCTCCCTAACGTTCGCACCCCGCATCCCCCCGTCCCCTCGATCCGAAGAGGATGAACTCTTGGTCTCTTCCTTGCTGCTACAACAAGGGCGCGGACGATCAGCAGCAGGGAGGGTGAAGCTAAACTCCTTACCTCTCCTCCTTCCTCCCACTGCCATCTGCTGACCTGCTGCTGATCCCAGGATTGACAGCCCACCTGTTCAGCGCGGCCTCTGCAACCTTCCTCCGAGCGTTCACTTGATCCTCGGCTACTCGTCCAGCCGTCACTTCACACTCAACTCCCCTCCTGTCCTCGTCCACCTGTGTTGCTGGCATCCAGTTTGCCGCCTCCTTCCTCCATTCCGCCTGTTCTCGACGGCAGCTGCACCTGCTGGGCTTCAACAGGCACTGCAACATACACAGCCTGACTGGAGGAAGGAGCTGATCCCCAAGTGCCAAACCTGTGGATGCACAAATTAGAGGAGGAGGAGGAGGAGGAGCAACTTCATCATCATGATATATGAGGGGCAGGAGCAGGACGGAAGGAGGTGGAAGGATGAAGTGGAGAATAACGGAAGCGTGGCGGGGGAATAGTGGAAGTGCTGCTGCTGCTGCTGCTGCTGCTGCTGCTGCTGCTTCTGTTGTTGTTCTTGTCGTTGTTGTTGTTGTTGTTGTTGTAGTGATTGTTGTTGTTGTTGTTAGTAGTAGTAGTAGTAGTAGTGGTAGTGGTAGTGGTAGTAGTGCTGGTGATGATCATAATGGTGGTGGTCGAGGAGGAGACACACCCGGTAAATCGAGGCTGCGAGCCCATCCTGTACCCTTCCGCGGCCTCCAGGTCGTCTTCCTCCATGTCGCTGGAGCGACAGAGTCTGGTGAAGAACCTCTGAACCCTGCCGCAGCATGGGATCAACCCTAGACACCTGAAGGTCATGGCAACGCAGTCAGGACGAGCTAGCATGTCACTGCCCACCACCTGAAGCACGACGATCTGGGCGAATCGAGTGGAGGGCTTCGTACCCACCCCCACCTCTCAAGGGTGCGGAAGCAAGATCCTAGGCACGCCGAGGTCAGCAGGGGAGTCGGAGGAGTGCGAGCTTGATGGCACGTTTCTCAAGGAAGAGGACGACGAAGGGCGGGAGCATGAAACAGTCAAGCAGCCCGTGCGAGAAGACGAACGCTCCCAGGATGCCGACGAGGTGACCTGAGCTGAGCATGAGGGCAAGGGCATGGCGATGGATTTCAGCACCGATGAAGGACACGTTTGGCATCAGCACTTGCGTGAAGATAAGCATCGCCCATGGGTACCACCTCGCCGGGATCTGCCAGCCAAACCTGGACAGCACAACGGTCAAGGACGCCAAGGACAGGAGAGGACATCACATCGAGAACTGAGTTCCGAGGGGAGCAGCGAAGCTGTCTACTGTCAAGATAGCAAATAGCACACCAGAGAATCCTACAGCACACTCGTTCCTGTCCGAGACATGCTCAGTTCAGGGTAGTTTGCCTTGTCGATGCCGACGCACCAGAATCTGGCGTACTGGAACAGGGCGCCCACGAACGCGATGACGAAGTAGAGGATTCCCAGGACCAGCACCCACACGACGATCAAGTTCACGAAGCGAACAGTTCCCATCATCTGCTCCAGCCTTCCCCCAGCAAACACGAAGTTGTACATGTTGAACCCCAGATGCAAGAACCCTCCATGCACGAATGCCGACGTGACGATGCGGTAGCACTGGCGATGATCGATCCAGATCACATGCGGCATCATGCAGTAGGACTGAGGAGCGAGGTTGGAGCTGTACAGCAAGCTTCAGATGGAGTTCACAAATGGGAGGAAACTGCTGCTAAACCTGATAGTCCAGTTCCTGGGTGTGCATATCCCAACGACATACACCGCCACGTTGACAAGCAGTATGAACCGAGTCCCCGCTGGGATGCTCTTGCGGACAGACAAACGTCAGCGAGCATGCAGGAGGTCTCCCTCCGCTCTTACCGTCCACCATCTCGAGACGGATCCTGTGGTATCCATGGCTCGAGATCAAGGATCCTCTGCGAGACTAGGCCACAGGCACAAGGCAACAGGACGGAGAAGAAGCCTCCTCTACCTCTCACGTCCCTCCTCTATCACATGCCGTCGTGCTTCCCTCCCCGTCTCCTCCTCCTCCTCCTCGATCTCCTCCCTCCCCTTCCCCACCAGCATTTCCTCCGAATACCCACGTGATACCCCACGTGACCTTTCGGTAGGACAAAGTGATCACGTGACATGGAGGCCATTGGTCGGATCATGTGGATGGAGGGAGGAGAGGAGAGGAGAGGAGGAGAGGAGGAGAGGAGAGGAGGAGAGGAGAGGAGGAGAGGAGGAGAGGAGGAGAGGAAGAACAGGAGAAAGAGGAGAAAGAGAGACGAGGAGATAGAGACAGATGAGAAGGGAGGCGAAGCAGAGGAAGCGGATTAACGGCAAGGCGAGGCTGAAGTGATGGAGGATGGGGAAGGCGAGCCTCGGAAAGCAGAGGCCCTGTATGGGAGGATGGAGAGATGAGAAAGCTCAAGAAGAGAGCAGGTCAGTAGAGGAGAGGAGCAGGGTAGTCATCAAGTCATGAATACATGTCGCGAGGACTTTGCGGTGTTGTCGGAGGTCTAGGATGAAGGAGGGAGGGTAGAGAGGACTCGTTGGAAGGGAGCAAGGCAAAAGAGGATCAAGCTTCAAACACTAGCAGACAGGACAGTGCTTCCTGTTGATCACTCACAGATCAATCCTGATCGATCATTTGCGCGATTTTCAAGGAAGTGAAACGATTGAACAGGAACCAGGCAACGAGGTCAATGCTGTGATTCCATCGTCCCCTAGCAAACCATCGAGGCGGTTGAGAACGGGGCTGGAAGAAAGTTGAGCTGAGATTCTTAGCCGTCATTGATACAGACAGCACGCATGCTCTCGCCAAGATTTGCTCTTCTCCTCTTGTGCATCGACCTAGTTTGCTGGCAGTGCAGCGCCAACATCCTCCCCGCTCGCGGCGTGTCGAGGAGCGAAGTACGACAGAATCCGCTGACGGACAAGCACGACCGCGTCCTCCTGTTGGGAGATGCTGCGCCATCGAAGTACCGCAGCCACGATGGTGACTACGATCATGTTGACTCCGCAATGCAGGAGGAAGGAGGGAAACAGCGCTATGGACACAAAGCCTCCTCCTCTCGCTGTCTTTGCACCAATAGCGCAGCATGTGCTCGGTCAGTGAACGATTGACATACATCTGTCGTTGCTACTCCATCAACTGACTCGTCGCCTGCAGGAGGCCTGCTCCGACTGTCGCCTCTGGGTATCTCTTGTGTCAATGCGTTCCTTACATGTTTGGTCCCTCCTGCATGTAGATTTCTTCCATCCGATGGTGGATACTCGAATGTTCTGATGTTTTCTGTTCCGAACGCAACAGCACTTCTCCTTTTATTGTTTGTTCAGATTACAGCACAGTGATCTGCTCTCTTTTGAACAGGGTTGGCAGCTTTGCTCATCCTGCAAAGCGAACAGGTGTTCCGATTGGTTTTTCTCTTCTTCTCGCTCTCCACTTTTCCTCCTCTCCCCTGCTCCTTTCCTTCCTCTCCCCCTTTTATCTCCCATCCCCTCGTCGACCCGTGGGATTCTTCTATTCCTCATGCTATCAAAGGCGCGAAGGTCGCTCTTCTTCTGGACGAATGCCGTCCCCATCTACGTGCACTACAAGGGTAAGAGGATGGGCGTGTGGGAGGATCGAGCAGCAGATGAGCCTCTGGCAGCGGTGGACAAGATGCTCGAGGGCAGACCGAAGAAGGTCAGGAGAGAAGCTTTCGGTCCGTGGAGGAGGGGCAGTGCACCCTACTGGCGTTGTCGTGACCTGCGACGTAGAGCGGCTGCACACCAAGTACGCCAACAGAGTTTACGACGTGATAGTTCATCTCGGGGGTTTCTACCTCAAGTTCGGGCAGATTGGAGGTGGGTGGAAGACGTTTCTGATGACCTTGTGTTTGTGTTTGTGATGATCCATGAACAAAACTCCAACGCGATGATGAAAGTTAAGAAAGTTGCTGTCTGCTTGCCTGCCTGCTTGCCTATCTTGCCTGGGTTCATGACGATGGTTCCAGCCACTAGAGAAGATTTTGTTCCCAAGCAATGGACTGTTCTACTAGAGGTAGAACAGTCCAACTTCAACTCCTCTCTCTCCTGTCACTGTGCCGTCGTCTCCTTTGGTGTTTTCTCCTCGAATGCTCTTGTCTCGTTTCCTAAGTCACGTGTAACAACTCTTCTACATCCTCTTCTTTCTTCTCCTCTCTCCCCTCTCTCCTCGTATTCGTCCTCGTCCTTCTCGTCCTCGTCCTCCCAGTCCTCCTCGTCCTCGTCCTCCTCCCTCCCTCCCCCCTCTCTCTCCTCCTCTCTCTCCACCTTCTCCTCTCTGACCTATTTCTATCTGCAGCGGCTGGAGGACAAGGTCCCACCAGAGAAGGTTCTGCGCTTGTTGCATTGCGCTTGTTGCATTGCGGTAGCTCTGCTGCTCGTGCCTGATGACGAGCAGGACCCGCACTATCCTCCGCTGCTGGTGGAGAAGGAGCTCAAACGACCTCTACACGAGGTGGGAGGATGAAAAGGGGAGGAGCTTCCGATAGCGAAGGAGGAGAGCTGGAGGGGCAGAGCGAGGAAGCAGGAAAGGAGGGGAGGGAAGACGTACAGAGCGAAAAGAATGCAAGCAACTAAAGTTGGGAAAGAGAGAAAAGAGGAGAGAAGTGGAAGAAGTGGACAGGGCAGAAGAAGTTGGGGAGAGGAGAGGAGGAGAGGAGGAGAGGAGGAGAGGAGGAGGAGAGGAGGAGAGGAGGAGAGGAGGAGGAGATGGTGACGTCAAACAGGTCTTCGACGGGTTTGAAGTTGAGCCGATGGGCTCGGCATCGATCGGTCAGTGTCATCGTGCCATCCTCAAGGACAGGAGGAAAGTGGTCGTCAAGGTCATGCGCCCTCATGCAAAGGTCAGAAGTAGGAGGAGCAGGAGCAGGAGCAGGAGCAGGAGCAGGAGCAGGAGCAGGAGCAGGAGCAGGAGAAAGCGAGAAGAACGGTGAAGGAGGAGGTTGTACCCTGAATGAAACTTTTTGCAGAGATTGTTCGAAGGAGACTTATCGACTTTGGAGCAGTTTTGCAAGTTTGCGCAGGTGAGGATGCATATGCTGCTTGTGTTGCAATGAGTTTGTGCAATGACGATCATATCATCTTGATCGTCACATTTTCAGTCTTGATTTCACAACGCTAATGAAACTGTTTCTCTCGCAGCCCCAGATCAGCCCTGTCTTCGAGGAGTTCCGTCATCAGTTCAAGTCGGAGTTTGACTACAGGAGGGAAGCAGAAAACCTTCAGCTCGTCTGGAGCAAGGTGAGCAACATGGAGTACGAAGAGGATGGGAGATGCGAGCAGCAAAGAGCAATGGAGCGAGGAGAATGAGAGGGAAATTAGCAGGACAGGACAGGACAGGACAGGACAGGACAGGACAGGACAGGACAGGACAGGACAGGACAGGATAGGACAGGTCAGGTCAGGTCAGGTCAGGGCAGGGCAGGGCAGAGCAGAGCAGGATTGGGGCAGTAGGACGGTAGAGGGGAGAGGAGGGAGGGAGATGATTGCCTCTGCAGCTGAAGGGCAAGTGGAGCGGGCGGGTTGTCATCCCCCAGCCCATCAGCGAGTTGGTGACTCAGGACGTTCTCGTGATGGAGTATGTGCCTGGGAAGAAGCTCGTCGATGTGCTCAAGGAGCAGGCGAGGTCGGCTCCTCCTACCCTCCTCCTACCCTCCTCCTACCCTCCTCCTACCCTCCCTGTACCGTCGTCCTACCCTCCTACCCTCCTACCCTCCTACCCTCCCTCCTACCCTCCTCCTGGTCCCTCCCTACCTCCCTTTACCCATCACCTCCCAGCCCCCACTCACCTCCTACCCATCTCCTACTCTCCTCCCCTCGTCCTCTCTTGTTGTCCTCAACTGGTGCCCATCTAGTGTATTCATTCTTGCTTACTGCTTACTTGTATGTTGTCTTATTGTTTCTTCTTGTATGTTGTCTATTTGTCTCTTCTTGCTCTTTTCTGGTCGCATGTTGCTGATCGCGGCGATAGACGCGAGGCAGCAAAGCGAGGAGTGAAAGTCGAAGACCTTCAAAGGGAGCACATGGAGATGCTCCGGAGAAGACAAAACAGTGAGAGCTTCTGCTGCTGCTGCTGCTGCTGCTGCCGCTGCTGCTGCTGCTGCTGCTGCTGCTGCTGCTGTAGATGACCTTGATGTTGATTTTGTTGATCGAGGAGATGTTGGAGAAGGAGGAGGTGAAAATGACAGTGATGACTTTTGAAACGCAGACATTTTCACATCTCTTGGAGACATCCAACAGAGTGTCATGGTGACGACTTTGCATCACTTTGCTCTGCAAATCCTTTGTCCTCACGCTTCCACTCAACCATTTTCTTGAACGTGACGCTCTGCGGACAGATCAAAGTGCACAATTTTGTAGTTCGTGTCGGGGACTTCATGAGGAGAAGTTCTCAACAACTCTCTTCTGTTTGCATGTCGGATGTCAAACAGAAGGTTATCACTGTCCTCCATCCCCCACTCTCCCTACGATC